TACCACCTCACCTTGCTGAAATCGAAGTATGTAACATCAATTTTATTATTTCAAATCGAAGTAAATATCATTTCAATATTTTTGTACATGCTTGTAGACGAAGTATAACGCAAATGTTGAGAAGAAGCGGGTGGAATTAGTGTAATACTTAAGAATTTGATTATTTAAATTTAATTCATGTTTCGGGACGAAACATCCTTTAAGGGGGGTAGAATGTGACACTTCAAAAATTTAAATAAAAATAAAAATAATTTTTAGTCAGATAAAATATTACGAAAATAACATTTTAATAATTAATTGAGTCAGACAAAAATTCAACAGTTGTAACATTCTAATCAGATAAAATAGCAAAATTTATGATGTTTTAGTCAGATAAAAATGGTCCGATAATAGATGTAACGTATAAAATAATATGGAGGGACTGTACAATAATACATAGTATAATTTTCTAAACTTAAACTAAAATACCTACGTACGTATTATTACTACCTAATTATACTCCTAATATACTTCTACCTACGTAACTACGTAATAAAAGTATATAGAATATATACTTCTACTATATATATATAAACTCATACGTACACTCTATTAGTAATCAAAGTATAAACTGACCGGAACTCTCAAATGGCCGGCAAACAACCCGCAGCTATAGAGATAAGTACGAAGCAGATAAAATCGAGTTTTACACAAACTCTAACTCAACCTGGACCTGCGATCTACACCTATAAATAAAGCCCTTCCCCTGCGTTTAATCTCAAGCACAAACTCGAGCAGCATATACGTATAATATATATATATTCATACGACGCATATATATAGGTGAAACTCCCACCCAGAGTTATCCTAAAAACCGAGCCCTGAAAACACTCTAGAAACCTTCCCCTTCGTGAGACGAATCCAACGGAGAAAGAATCGTGGAAAACGGACGTCGGAGTAGGGAGAAATAGCTCGCCGGAGTTTCGCCGGGGAAAAACTTTTCGACGGAAAACAGAGAAGAGGGAGGAGCTGCTGCTGCCGTCAACCCACCACTGACATTCACCGTCCCAGAAGGAGCGCACCGCCGTTGTTCACCGCCAGTAGAGGTAAGCCCCCTCCCCCCCTGCGTTGGCCGTTTCCGGCGTATTGGCCAGGAAGACGACCCAGCCTTTAGGCTGGGGTCTGTCCTTTGGGCTGATTTCTATTTTGGGCCTGTTGTTTTTATTATTTTGGGTCAGTCCGGCCCAGTTGCAATAAAAATTAAAAATAAAATCGTAAATGAAATAAATAAAATCTGGAAAAATATAAATTAAATACCTAGTATAAATATACGTATTCGGACCAACCAGAATTGAAAAATAATATGTTTAGCTATTTTTAATGGATTTAATTGTATTTTGACCAATTTATACACATTTAGTAAATAATTAACTAAGTGACGAAAATAATTATGAAATAAATATTGAAGTAAACTAGGATAAATATATGACTAACTAGAACCTTATGGACCATTTATAATTAATAAAAATAAAGATTTAGTATATTTAATTGTAATTGAACCGATTAATAGATATATGAAATTAAAGGAATAATTATGGAAAATAATTATAAAATAGATATCTGGACAACCTAGGTCAAATATAGACCAAAAATATAGTTTAAGATGGTTATTAATTTATAAAGTCGACTCTTAGTCTATTTATTTAAATTAGGCCATATAAAACTAGTTAAGTAATTAAATAAGGAAATATTTATATTAATGGTGAAATAAATAAATCACTAAGATTGAAAAATAATATTCTGCACTAAAAATAATGTTGGAATAAAATAAGGAAAATAAAATAAGGTTCGGTTAGCTAGCATAAATAATTGACTATATGTAGACTTAATAAACAACTTAGTTATGTAATTAGTGGACTATTTCAATTAATAAGTTTTATGATTGATTATTAGATATTCGGACTTCATATAAATATTTAAAATATTTGAATTCAAAAATTAATGGGTTAATATAAATAAAGTAATTAGATAATAATTTATGAGTAGAGTAAATTAATGGTGATTATTTGGATGTTGTAGTTAATTATATTCGGATATTTTATTTAATATTAGGATTCAAATATTGTAATTAATGGCTGAATTAATAAGGTAATTTGATTAATAAAAAGTGATTAATCAAATAAATTCGAATAACTAATAAATTAAGTTAATAAATTCGAATAAGGAAATAAAAGGGGAAAATTGAATAAAATAATTTATAAATAGAATAAGTGACTAATTATATCATCTTAATTAAAAAGGTGCTCATATAGAGACTGGAATTGAAGAAGAAAAGTAGGAGCATTTGGATTTAAGGTAAGTTTCACGTCAACCGAAATTAGTTCTTTTTCTTCGTGATTTGTTTTAAATATTTTTGTGTGCATATTTGAGAATTGAATTTATGTGTGCTGAATTTGAGTGAAAAGTATTATACGAAAGGGTTGTATTTGAGATATTAGTTGATATATTGTTTTGTTGATATGAGTTATTGTATATGATTTTGGGAGATTTTGTAATAGTACGTAATTTGTTATTTTTGTGGGAGTTTGATGCAAAGGGAATTTTTGAAGTATAAACTTCGATTGATTTTGAGAAAAATAAATATTTTCATAAAAGGTGAGCATCACGGGAGAAATCCGTGGTGTTGGTTTTCCACATCCCTTAAAATGTGGAGGGTGGTTAGGTCTACTACTACTCAATTTCTTGTTGGTTTTGGTTTGAGGTGAATTGACGGTCGGTAGAAAACATCCCGACTTTTGAGTGGTAGTGGTAGTAGTAGCTCCTAATCATTCAGTTTTTGAGGTGGGGTAGTTGGTAGAAAACATCCCGGCTACCCGGATCGACTTACTAACCCGGAGGGCTTGGAATACCTTTAGGGGGTGTGCACACTTATAGTAGTTGTTTCCGTTTCCAAGGAGCAGTTGTGGTACCGGCAATAGTTCCGGTGTGGCCGTACATAACAACGGACCACCGGGTTCAACCAAAGTGTTGAGCACCGCCCTTCTAAATTACTAGGAAGTTAGATACAAAGTGATTTTGGGAGAAATTCAAAAGAGGAGAATTTTGGTGTTTCATGTATTTTGGAATTATTATGATTTACGAGTTAATTATGTGATTGGGATTTTATATAGATATCGTTTACTTGTGATTTATGGTTTATAAAGTGTTTTGAAAAATATTTTATGAGGTTGTACGAATTTATATATATTATTTATTATTATTTTAAAAGGTTAGGTGGAACTTACTTAGCATTATTGCTAATGGTTGTTTTCTTTTATTTTTCTTGTGCTCGTATTTAACAGGAGGTGATCATGTTGATTTTGATGCTGCAATGTTTGAAAGCGCGAATTAGAAGACAACTATGTAGTTCACTAGAAATAAACTTTAATATTTACTTATGATTCGAACATCTTGATTTTGTTAAACTCGTGTTTTGGTAGATAGCCTTAGCATCCAATCATTCACGGATTGGATGTGGTGGTGACATGCCCCTTTTACTTAGTTTTTATTAATTTCCGCTGCAACTTTTGAAGTTTTTATCATAAAATAAAAGTTCATCTCTATTTCAAAGTATTATTTTGGGTGGAAAATTTGGGGGTGTCACAATTAGGCTTGACGCATGAAGATGAGATCGATTCTGACGTGGAAGATGATGCGATCCTTAAGGCAGCTGGGTGTACAAGGGCCGGCTTCCGTGCCTCGGGGCTGAGGGGCAACGTATTTTGTACGATAGCAGCGGCATCGGAGCTTCATCATCTTCTCGATCAAGGCGGGGAGAGAATCCACGTATCGCCCAATTGTAGCGAGAATTGGAGGAGCAGCAGCGGGCATTCGAACAGCAACGGAAGAATGATGAAGAAACAAGGGCCCGGCTGGAAGCAATGGAACGGATTGTTGCTGGATATCAGCCTCCGCCTCAGCCTCTTCCTCAACCGTACATGTTGCACGTTGAGCAGACTCCTCAGGTTCCGCAGATGGGTCATATGGGTTATCATTCTAACTCCGGATATGGTACCATTCCTGCAATCGGGTCGACATTCGGATCTCTGTCGTCTGATTTTCTCGATCAATTTCAGTCATCCGGTGGAGGCAGCCGAGGAAGCAACCGAGGAGGCAACCGAGGAGGCAACCGAGGAAGCAACCGAGGAGGCAACCGAGGAGGCAGCCGTGGCAGCCGAGGAGGTACCCGACACTTAGGCACCGTGGATGCTGAAAAGGATCATCATCGTGATTATGATGATAATGATAATGCATATGATTATGATGATCCTAATTTTTATCATAATGCAGTCTGACGTGCGGGCATGTAATAATACATTTTTTAAGTTTAACATTTCATATTAATTTTATAATTCAGTCTGTAATAACATTTTTTATGTTTAACATTGTATGGTTTTGTTTTTCATTTAATGTTCTAATTGCTTTAAAGTAAAATTAAAACAATTTTCAATTTTTTTAAAATGGATTTTTTTTTTAAAACCACAAATTTTAGTCACGGACTAAATCCGTGACTGTTTTTTTGGTCCGGAACTCTTTTCCGAATTCAATTTTTTTTAAAAAAAAATCATAGTCACGGCCGAATTTTAAAAACAAAAAAAAAATCTTAGTCACGGATCGGTCCGTGACTAAAAAAAAAATTAAAGGTAGTCACGGACCAGGTCAAGAATTAGTCACGGACCTTGTCCGTGACTAATCTGTGACTACACTTAGTCAAGGCCGAATTTCAGTGACTACATTGTAGTCACGCGGAATTAGTCACGGACAAAATCCGTGACTAACATAGTTAGTCACGGACAAAATCCGTGACTAACATAGTTAGTCACGGATTTTTTACCCTGCGGTCCGTGAATAAGTCCGTGACTACAGGCGATTTTTTTTGTAGTGAATGCCCTAAATTTATTTAGTAAAGATATAAAGTAGAATAATAATAATAATAATAATAATAATAATAATAAACTAAAAGCATTACACAACAACGTATTTCTCATGCGAACCCCAGCCACAAGTTGCCGCCGACAACACCCACGGGTTAAGACCTGCACCATTCACCGCCGCCAGTCACCCCTTGCCGCTGCCGGATGATGCCACTAGCCGCCGCCGCAATCTCCAACGATATCTGCCCTTCCGCCAGCGTTGCACCTGTCAGGTGCGTGCCTCTGCCAGTTTATCGCGACTAGCCGGCCGCCGTTGGTCAATCATCGATGCCTTCATCTACATCACTGCCTCAGCCACTGCCACCGGATCTCATGCCACTGCTTTACTGTTTGGCGCCACACCTCTTGTAACATCACCACCATGTTTGGCTCCACCGTCACAGACCATATATCTGAAAAAGTGATTTCAAATATGATCTCACCATTTGAAAATCATTTTTAATAGGATTTATATAACAAAACAAAAGATATGAATGTTAGTGTCATATTGACATTTTATTTGCATTATCAATATTGGAATTGCAGTAAAAATATTATTGTCATCACTATATAGTTAGTGTCATATAAAAAAATGGCACTATGTGCAAAACTTATGTTTTTGTATACGAAAAATATGGCATTATTGGTATTATTTTTGACATCTCTGGAAGGAGTTGGTGCCATAAAAATGATATTAAGTATCGAAATAATATCTTCACGTAGAAAAACATGGCATTATTTGCAAAGGGGTAATATTTTCATTTCAATGTCATAAAGTCAAAAGCAATTATGGACATTTGGAATTCAAATCATAAAATTAATTTGAAAGTAACAGATTTTTTTTAGGGAAAAAATTGACAAATCACATAAAAAGGTTCTTTGTAGGACGGAAGGTGTTCCAAATGATTATACAAGGGTTGCATTAAGCACATGACTACTACGTAGTACTCAGGGGAGAAACTAGCGCATCGGGCCGGTACAAAAAAAAATTGAGAAAAAATAACACGAAATTTTTTGCACTAAAATATAGAGATTTTTTAAATTTTGTGTGGCTCGGGGCCAGAGTTAGCCCTGCTTAGCTACGCCCCTGGTAGTACTACATATGATGTATACTCCGTATTATATGGAGCTCACGAAAAAGAGCAAATTATAATGTGTGATAGGCAAACCATGCGCGTATGCTATGCCAATTCCATTACTACTTTATTTCCTTGGACATATGTGTAGGATTTCCTTTTCTTTTCTGTTTCTTTTTTTATTTTCCGTTTCTACAGTTCCTTTTTCTTCTCCATCAAATACTAAAAATGTTATTACAATTTTACTTTTCTTTGTCTTCAATTTAAATTACAACTCAACCTATTTTTTTTTATTCTTTATCAATTCATGACAAAAAATATCAATCTAAATAAAATAAGTATATTACATTTCACATTCACACACTATTTCTATTTATGTAAGACTTTTTTGTATTATACACTTTTTTGTAATATTTTTTGTACATTATACACTTTTTTCTAATATTAATCTAAATAAAATAAGTATATTACATTTCACATTCATACACTATTTTTATTTTTGTAATATTTTTTTGTATTATCCACTTTTTCTGTAATATACTTTTTCATATTCATACACTTTTTCATATAATATATTTCTTCTCTCTTTTGTATAATATTAGTGTTTTTTAGACATTACATTTGTTTTATTTCAACTTTTACATTTGATAAAATATGATATTACATCTTCATGCGTATGGTCTACATTTCCATATGTGTGAGTTATGTTTATATACAATTTCTATAGTTGCATTTGATAGTATATGAAGTTACATCTTCTTATGCACAAGTTACATCTTTTCATTCATGAGTTACATCTTCGTATATGCGAGTTATATTTGGATTTGGCTCAACAAGTAAGTTAGATTTTTCATAAACGTGAGTTACATTTTTCAGAACATGAGTTACATCACAAAATATATTCATGCTTTAAAAAACATTTTTTTTTGCAAAAAAAAATGATTTTATGGCAAAAAATATACGGAGTATATAGTTGTTTGGTGAAAAAAATGATTTTTCTTTAAAACAATTTTATGGCATTAATATTAAAAAGAAAACATATTCACTATTTACGTAAATTAATTGAAGAATTAAACTCCTTAATTTCATTGTTTACATTTGATAGTATATGAAGTTACATCTACTTATACGCAAGTTACATCTTTTAATGTTTAAGTTATATTTTCATAAGCGTGAATTATATTTGAACTTACATCAACAAGTTGCATTTTGCATATACATAAGTTAGATTTTTATTAACGCGGTTTATATTTTCCATAACACGAGTTACATCTCAATTTAGACCCCTGCTATTGAAACAAAAAAAAACTTTTTGTTTTGCAAAAAAATAATAATTTTTGGGCAAAAACAAATGATTATTTTAAGTTTTAAAAACAAAATATATTCAATAATTACTTAAAGGTGCAAACGTCACACCTAGGATAGTCCTAAAAGAATTGAGCTGAACCGGTGAGCGTAGCTCAACTGGTAGCGAAGGAGTGACACAAGGATTAGGTCCCGGGTTCGAATCCCGTCAACTGCGATGAGAGATTACTATTCTAAAAAATGCATAGGGGCTCTGTAAGTACCGGGGACAGAGCCTCACTCTCTATCTGTCAGATTGAGATTATAGTCCAACTTACATCCTCCCAACGTACCGTCCGATCGGGATTGAGGGCTTTAGGGATGGGGTGTCCTCTGGTGCGCACGTGTATAAGGCCTACCGCCACTTTACTGACTGAGTCTTCGTGATTGACCTCATCACCATCCTATCGGGTCAGAGTGAGGGACTTGGGGTTGGGCATTCAACTTTTGGACAAGAAATTTAAGTTTAGGAGGGTCTTCTTCTTTGCTGCCAAACACATGGTTTGTGGGTAAATACCGATGAGGAAAGCAAGCGTGCAAAAGCACTGCACATATGCCCCCACTTTACCGCGCAAATTATACTCATTTAGCTAATCATCATTCTTTATTCTGCATGTACACGATCTGTGTCTAGGATTATGGGTGTACGGAATGCACGTCCTATGGCCTAGGTCTTTACAGTGTCCCTCATCCCTAAATTCCCAATGCATGTCTGCAACTCAATATATCGCCATATCGCTGACGCAACGTTCAAAATATCTCTCTTACGAGTGGCCTGGTGTTCCATTGCTATTTTCATTTTGGGAGAACTATTGAATAGGCTCTCGAACTTGGCGGTTTCAGGTGGAATTTGTTGCTGAATTTTTTTTTATCTTCTTCGGAAATATACTGCGCAGTCATCTTCAAAAATTCATTTGACTGTCTTTCCAATTGAATTTTTAGCCGAAATTTGGTATGAGTAAACTAGACTTAATGAAGAAGATTCTAAAAAAAATTCATCAAAAAATTCCATCGGAAACTACCCCAAATGACGGCAACCGGACAAAGCCTCCTATAAAAGAGCTTGTTTACAGTTTTTATGAAAATTCAATAACTTTGATAGTTTTCCCTTTTATTTTTGTCGTAAACAAAATGTATACAAAATCCTCCCAACATCTGTGTATATAGATTATTCGTTTGAAAACGGATATGATTTTATGTCAAAATCCTTCAACTTGTTTGTGTACATAAACAATGTACTCCCAATTTATGTACACATTTTTGTGTACATAGCCGGTATATTATATTGGGGCTATTACTATTATAGTGTTACGTACAATTAAGTAGGCGTGATTTGTTTCACTGGTGTAGGACTCGGTCTGTTTTTCTTCAAAAAATTCCACGAATACAAAAATGACATTTAAATTTGCTACGATCTAAATTTACAAAATGAGAAAAATAATTTTAATATTATAATGGAAGTGCTCTTGAAAAAAGATAGAAAAACTCTTCAAATACGAATAAAAACGTTTTGTAATTTCAAAGCAAGATTGTTATATTTTTATTCTCCAAATATGAGTAATTAATGTAAAACTTCAAAAATAATGTCATGTGTAAACCTTGAAAAAGTCAAAATATGCCAACCACTCCTATGTAGGAAAATAAGAATAGCAGTCATGTTTTTGAATTCACAAACTTTTTTACTCTTATCTGGGGGAATCTCTTAAAAAGTTTTATACATTAAATTAATGACTAAGAAATGACAAATAAAAAGAAAATAATTTCATAATCAAAAAGTTTAATATTTTTTCCAATTATTTGAAGATAAAGAATCTATAAGGCACATTCACCACTATGAAAGACACAATTTAAAAAATTGACAATGACGAATCGATTAAAAAATGAATGACGTTACGATGGTGATGAAGTGTCTGGTTGGGAAAAACGATGTTGTCCCACACAATCACACTATACGGAGTATTAAGATACTGGACTACTCCTACTATCATGCTCAGTGATTCACGCTAACCTTTATGAAGAAACTTCAAATTTTAACAAGGGAATATGGAGTTGAGATACTAATTACTCCCTCCGCACCCCTTTAATTGTCCTATTTTCTCATTTTTTGATGCCCCCTATTATTGTTTCATATCATATTTGGTAGCAGTGGTGTGACTATAATTCATTCTTACTTTATTCCCACTTTATCAACTCATTGTCAATCACACAATTCTACTTTTTCTTAAAAAACACACTACCCTCTCCCGTCCCAATATTATGGGAACGAAGATAGTATGTCTCACTGAAAAATTACACTCTATGTCCTTTATACGGAGTATCAATGAGACGAAGGTAGTATAATATATTTAAAATGCACTCTATAGAGATAATAATGTGCTACAGAGTATTTGATAAAATTTATTTTTTTGTAAAATCAATAGTAAAGAAAAGCCTGTTTGGTAGTACTGGAATTTGCTGAATCAGCTGATTTGCTGAAATTTAGCAAGTTGTGGCTGAAGTGGTTCAATCGGCTGATTCTGCTGAATTGTGAAAAAAATATATTGAAAATATATTTCATTCATAAAAACAGAAAATTACATGGAAGTAGTTAAAATGATCCTCTACAGTAATTCCAACCAATTCAGTCGTAATAGTAACTCCAATCTTTCTTATCTTGACAAGTACACAACTAAATCCAAAAATAGGGTCAAAAATGAGCTAGAAGTAACCAAAATAAGTAAGGGCTTGCTCAATGACCAATATCTTTAGCTTATTAATCTTATTAGCCAACTTTTTGATAGATATTGTTTTTTTACACACGTTGAATTATTTAATAATCAAAATAAGTAGTGAAAAAGTCAAATAATAGACTGGACTCTTCTACTATTCTAAAATAAGTACGCAATATCAAATAAGTACGCTTACACTAAAAAATTGATCAATCAGGCCGTTTAACTTATTTTAAACTCATGATAGCAAATTTTTAATTTTAAAAACTTCCTAAATCTGTTAAAATTTGAAAATTGAGTAATACAAATTGTGATTTTTTTTTGAAAGATACGAATTGTGAAATTTAAAAATCAGTTTATACTTTTTCATTTTTGGAATTATTTGTATATTTTACATCGTTTTCAAAGTTATTACATTTTAATTTTATAATGTAGTAATCATGAATTATTTTCATTTGTGTAATTTTATTTATTTTAACGTGTTATAATCATTTATCAATTTTTGAACTTAACGTATCTTTATATTATTACATTATTTTCCATTTTATATGAGTTTTATAAAATTAATAAATTATTTTAATTTTTAAAAAATAGTCTGATATAGTAGGTTAAAATGACTGGATTGAGTGTCTTTCTAAAATAAGCATACTCATATGATACACAATGTTTTTTTAGTACATGGATTTAAGTGATAAATTTAAAATAGTAGAATTTTTCATAAATACTGAGTAAGCAAGATCGGTATTATTTTGCGTAACTGGATTGGTTGCTTTGTTGAAAAGGGCTATTCTACAAATTATAATATATACTTCTTGAATTGTATGACTTTCTCTTTATTTAATTACTAAAAATATATTTCAATTATGATATGTTCATAATTCAACGGATAAAGCAAATTTAATCATTATCATCATCATTGTCATTACCCCAGTGCCGCAAAGGCTCCCGCCTACGGTGAGGTAAGGAGGATCGGATGTACACAGTCTTGCCCCTGTATTAAACACAGAGAGATTAATTCCGGATGACCCATAGTGAAAGTCACGTCAAAAATTGCATGGACTGATTGTTGCTTCATAACAAAGAAGCGCGGACAGTTTAGTGAGCCCATGTGCTTTATTCCATCATATTCTCAAACCAAAAATAGTGAGTTTATGGCTCCATTGCATATGATGGAAAAATAAAGCAAATTCAATCATTTCTTAAAAATTTCAATTATTTTCAGAAATTCACTTAATTCATCCAATTTGAACGCTACCAAATAGGTTTTATACATTAGTTTGTTGAAAAGGTTATTTTAGGATTTTTTACATAATTCTGTTATTAATCTTGTTGGTAAAAAAGATATTAGGGAGTGTTTGCGATTACTTCAATTTCAAAAAAGTGATTATCTAAGGTGATTTTAGATAAACCGCTTAATAGTAAATGTTGATAGTATTTAAACAAAACAAAATGTGTTTCTAAAAAAGTAAAAAAAAAAACTATGTAGTGTTTGGTAAAAAAATATTTTTTGTATAACAAAAAAGTGAAAACGCAATTTAAAATATCCCTTCACGTGTTTCCCGTTTTTAACTTAATGTGTACTCCCTCCGTCTCGGAATTATCTTCATTCTTTCTTTTTCGGTCCGTCCCAAATTTATCTTCTCTTTCCTTTTTTGACAAAGAATTTGTGGTTCACAACCATTCTTACACGTTTCTCTTTCCTCTGCACAACTCTCCACCACATATTTCTCATTATCTTAAGAAAGTTGTATCAACTTTTTGTATACTACGGAGTACTATAAGCTGAAAAAGACTTTCTTGTTTTAATATTTTGCCAGCACTCCCTTTAATACACGGTTTAGGGAAGTTACCCTAAACAGGAGTAAATGAGGTTTAAAATTCCAAAATAGGATTACTATGTTTTTCTTTCCGAAATAGGAGTTTTTACTGCCATGTATGAAAAATACTGTCATAATTAAAAAATACCGTCATTAATTATAATAAATATTGTCATATTAAATGCACTGTACTGCAACTATTTTGCAGTCACGCCTATAAGATGACAGTAAATATTGTCATGTTAGTCCTATTTCAGTAATAAAAATATAGTAATCCTATTTTGGAATTTGAAACTCCATTTACTCCTATTTTGGGAAATCTCCCTACGGTTTATTTTGATAGGAAGGAAATTGATTTTTATTTTAGCGTGAAAACTACTCCCTCGGTCCTATAAAATTCTTCTCACTTTTCTTTTTGGACTGCCCAAAAAATTCTTCTCACTTATCATTGTTGGACAATTTGTGTGGTTCAGATTCATTTCATTTTTTCTTACACAATTACAATACTACGTAATACATTTAAATTTTATTCCATTTTCTTAATATGCGTGTCAAATTAAATCTGAAAGAATTTTTGGGACGGAAGGAGTAAATCACTAAATCTAAATCAATTGGCCGACTGGAAATGAGAGGAGAGGATATAAGATACCGTTGTGGAAGAAACAACATCTGACTGCCGCCAGTGTAATCATTCTGAAGATTATCTCTCGCTCTCTTCTCTCCCGCTCTCTCAGTTTCACTGTTCGGGAAAGAGACCTTTTCAACTTCCAAGGAAAATGCAAGAGAATTCAGGCTCTTGCTTCTATGCAAATCCATGCAGTGATCGCCTTTTTCTCTACCCTTTGCCTCAAATCTTCGGATTGATGATGTCGGAGAGACCCTACCTATGTACAGTAAAACTTATAATGGAAAAATATGGGAAACAATCTTGATACAGCCCGTTTGGTAACCGGGCTTGTCAAACAATCTTGATACACTTTGCAACACAAACTCCCTCAGTTCGTATATTGTCTACGCAAAAAGAGTAAGGACCTTTTAGATTTTTTCTACTACTTAGTATTCTATTTTTGTTTTTCATAAAAAAAAATATTCTATTTTCTGTTTCCATTTCCCAGTTTTTGTCTCCACTTTTTTTTTCTTTCATTTTTTAGGTTTCATTTTCAAATATGATAACATGTTCATACAATTCTTTAACCCGATTCTCTGACCGATCAAAAGACCGAAAGTACGATCCCAGTCCGAAACCGAACCTAGTACAATTCAAGTGGGGTACTGGGTCCCACATATAGGAAAGTCTGGTCGTGGATCGAACATGACAGGGATCGTCAAAGCATCGATCGAACTGGACAGGGACCGTCGGGTCGTGGACCGGAATGGACAGGGACCGCCGGGTCGTGGATTGGACTGAATATGGACTGTCGGGTCGTGGACCGGACCGGACACGGCCCGCCGGTTGGTCGATCAGATAGGGACCGTCAGTTCATCGATCGGACTAGACGAAGTTTGCTCGACCGTCGACCGAGCCGGACATGAACCGCCGAGTCAATGATCGGACTGGACCGCCGGGTCGTTGACCGGAACGGATTGGAACAAACATCGAAGCGGGACCAGATCCAACACTAGGCGTAAATATGCAAAATCATTGCAGCGGCACTGCAGCATCCGCGTTTTCCAAATTTAGAAAACTAGTAAAAGTCACTTCTCTGATTCTTTAAGGAAAACAGAGACATATCTCATTTTTTTTGTTTTGGAAAACGATTTGGTAAACACAAATTTCTGTTTTCCTTTCTCGAGTTTTCTAGATTTTTTTTTGTAAACACGTTTTCTGTTTTCTGTTTTCCAGTTTTCCTGTTTTCTGAAAAATGAGAAAATATCTCTGTTAGTAAAAAGGCCCTGATTTTTCTTATAGTGACTTCGTAGAAACTCATTCTCCAGAAAAATGGAATTCATTGAATAGGTTAGTTTTGCTAAAATTTATAAAGATCCCGTTGAAGTTGCTGAATTAGTTGATTATTACATAATTTATCGCGTGAATACAATGTTACTTGTTTGCTGAAAAAGATTGTCGATAAGGTTGATAAGTCGAAAAATACTCTCTTCGTCTCTGAAAAGTTTTCACACTTGCCTTTTTTAAACGTCCCAAAAAAATCTTCTCATTTTCCTATTTGGAAAGGTTTGTATGATTACCATTAATTTACTTTTTTCTTACTCAACTACAACCATGCATTTCCACTTTATTCCAATTTTTTTAAACTTCAATTCAAGTGAAACTAAGAAATATTTTGTGGAACGGAGAGAGTAACCGTATATTCATGTCGTGTACACAATATTATGCACATTTCGTGGTGGTTTCATTTGAGATTCTATTCATCAAATTAGTTTAACAAAAAAATGGGTTAAAAACAATTCGAATGTCACAACCAAAAAGTGTACATATACTCCCTCCGGTTCCTGTTAAAGTTCTCAATTTGACTTCACACAGATTAAGAAAATAAATTTGACTTTATTGTGGAGTGCACTGTTTGGCACTGTTTGACACTGTTTTGCACTGTTTTATTTCCTACAATGGAAGTGTGAACTTAAATAAGGGACATCTCAAAAAGAAAAGTGAGAACTTTAATATGGATCGGAGGGAGTATACAGTTTTTTTTTAAGAACGTACAAAGACTAGCCCATATTTATGACCCACGTTAGATGTCCAAGGCCAACGAACCAAAAGTTTGATGGATACAACGATTAATAAAATAAAAATTGTACGTAGTATAATTGAATTTTGTGTAGTAGAAAGATTTAAAAAAGTTTGTTGGACATTCAAAAAAAATTGACAAAGTCTTAAGGGACGGAGGAAGTACGTAATAGAGACAATCAAACCAATATATGGATTACGAAGTACATAACAAAAAATTACTCGCTTCGTCCTATTAGATTTTGCCAATTTTCCTTTTTATTTGTCCTAAAAAAATTGTCACTTTCCTATTGAAGTTACTACTCCCTCCGTCCCATATTTATCTTCTTAGTTCGATTTACGATGCTTGACTGACGATAAAGCAACTTGATCCCTGTTCACACTCAGATTATTTTTAGTAAATTAAATTTACATATTCAGAAACTACATTAAATCCGCTACAAAAGCTGATCAAGAAAATTTAAGTTTGATAAAAATTTGATATATAAAGTAAAAGTTTAAGAGTAATTTGAGTTGACCATGTGAATAGTAACTATGAAGATAATTTTGGGACGGAGGGAGTACGTATTTTATAACGGAGTATGATTTTGCTCTTTTTTTTCCTCTACACAAATTTCAATAACACAAGTTTCACTTTTCTCATTTCTCACCTAATCAATATGCCTCTTACCTACTTTTATCATATCATTTTAGACTTGTTTATTTTGACAATTAAGTACGTTTTCTTTTGGACTGAAATTTATTGATCTGGTCTGATCTGTTTTATTGAAAACTGGTCAGGTTTAGTCTGGTCTTGTAAATGTCTGGTCTCTATGTATTTTATATATGTACAAGTATAGTCTGATCTGATCTGATCTGTTTAAATTTGATCTATTCTGGTTTGTTTAAATCTGATCTAGGATTGAAAATAGTACAAAAGAAAATATCATAGTAGAAGATGTACGTGTATGACTAAACTCACTCCATAAATCATTCCACGATGCATTGCCGGTAGAACTTTCTCCCACATTATGTGTCCCTGATGTTAGTTGTATCATGCTAAGTAGGAGGAGGTGGAGAAGTGATATAAACGTCTTCGATGAGTCAGCACATCTGTTGTTGTGAGGTACTCTCTCCGTCGCATAAAATAGTTCCCACTAGGATTTGGATCGGAGTTTAAGAAAGTGAAAATAAAGTGAAAATATATGGTTGTGGTTGAATAAGAAAAAGGTAAATGAATGATAGTCACACAAAATTTTCCAAAAAGAAAAATGTGAACTATTTTTTGGGACGACCAAAAAAGGAAATCATGAACTATTTTGTGAGATGGAGGGAGTAATATTTTTTGGAGTATACTTAATTCCTTCATCTTAAATAATTCAAATTTAGTGATGGAGTATATGGGTCTAGACCCCAGGACCCACATACTCAGAAGAATATGACGCACAGCTGTCACCCAGTGGGGCCTCCGTCGCCCAGATGACCCTCCATCGGCCAGAAAGATATCAACTCCGAATATGGTCCAAAAGCCAGGAGAACCGGGTGTCTCCGTCGGCCGGGGCTCCGTCGGCCAGAACCTCGTCGGCCACAAAGAGCTCCCAGAATCGGATTTCATACTTAGTTATTTTTACACTCTTTGTACTCGGCCCAGTAGTGGCCCAATTGTAAGTGGGCCTCCCAAGCCCAAGACTTGGGAGCCCAGCCCTAATTTCCTCTATAAATACTCCCCTTAGGAGTAGTTGTAGGGGTTCACAAATCATTTATTGCAAGGATTTATTGCACTTCTCTCTAGGAGTTAATACTCCATCATTTGGTGCTCTCGTTGAGAGCTAGAACAATCAAGTTAGCCTCCTTCATCGCTACCACACACAGCTAACTGATCATGGGAAGAACTAGGTCCAACCGCAACCTCCTCGGCAAGACGATCCCTAAGGCTCAAGAGAACAGGGAACACGAGGAAGACGTTACGGCCGACAAGGCCGCGGGCGGGGATGTTTTCCAGGAGGCCATCGACCTCACGAATGATCTTCGCCACCAGCTCAACGGCGGCGCCCCTGACGCCCGCAACGGCCTGGAGAAGAAGCGTCTGGAGAAGGGTGACAATGCCTCGGGGCAATCGGCTTCTCCCGCCGTTGACCCTCAGCTCCAGGTTGCACTCTCGGCCATCATCGCCAGTCTGGCCCAGAACCCCACCGTCCTTAGCGCACTCATGCCAAGAACTGGGGAGAACACTACACCGCCTCCTCAGCCCCAGCCGTTGGCCATCAAGTTAGGCAACGACGAAGGAGTGGTGCCCCAAGACACGTCGTCATCCCACTCCCACCCTGCTTCCCCACTTCAAGCTGGACTGGCCCCAACGTGTGGAAAAGCCTCCGCCTTTAATAGGCTAGGTGACACGTGCCGTCGACCTGCTTCAGAGAGGATGGCGGGACGGATTGGTGAGCGTGAGCCTGGCTCACCAAATGAAAGCTTGGGGTCCGTATCCCGGACAGCGGATCGGCCCCGCCTGGACAAAGGCAAGGGAAAACTGCATGAGGGTGACACACGTCACCAAATCAACATGGCTCACGCAGCTCGCATGCAGACATGACGCGCCACCATGGCCGCCAAGGACCCCAGGGACGAGGTGATCGCCCAGCTAGAGCGAAGACTCGCTCAGATGGAGGCCAAACAGCTGGCTGCCACCCCCACAGGCAACTCATCCAGGGACCCCGATTTCAATGCTCTTCTCCACAAGGTCAGCATCCTGGAAAAGGAGCTGGCCGAGGGACGAGGTGACCCTATCATCTAGGTCAAGACTCGGACTCCATTCACTGCGAGGCTACTCTCGGCTCCCATTCCCGAGAAGTACAGGGGAAACACCATCAAGCCCTATGACGGCCGCTCCGACCCACAGGAGCACTTCAGCCGCTATCAGAACAACAAGCTGATGGTGAATGCGTCAGATGAATACCTCTGCCGTTGGTTCCTTTCCACTCTCGAATGGCCAGTGTACGAGTGGTTCAACGCGCTCCCCGAAGGAAGCATAGACTCGTGGCAGGATCTTGCCCAACGCTTCCTCACCCACTTTGCCGGGAGGAAGCGCACGAAGAAATATTTCACTCATCTTCTCTCCTTTAAGCAACAACATGACGAATCACTCCGGTCGTTCATCGACCGATGGACGAGGGAGACCGATGAGGTTGAGGGGGCTGATGAGCGCACCCTCCTTGTCCTTTTCCAAGGCGCCCTCCGCAGCACGCCATATGCGAGGAGTCTCATCACTGACCCTCCAAGGTCCTATACGAAGGCGCTCCAGCGAGGGAACTTATACGCTGA